ACATGATGTGTCCGGGTCAGCTGCAGCTGGACAATGGTGACTTTTGGCCCAGGGATCAGTGGTTCCCAGTTGGAATGACGCAGAGCTTTTCCTGCCATAGCGGTTTCTCCTTACACGGGTCAGAACAAAGAAACTGCACGCTGTCTGGAGAATGGACCGGCACAACTCCAATCTGTCGCAATCATGGTGAGGAAACAATGCAAAGATTGCTCACTGCACTACTACGCTGTAGGTGGAAAGCGGCGATGTGTTGGTAGGTTTGGATTTGGGCTTTATGCTTTCCATTTTCAGATGATGGCTTGTTCAGAAAACAGAGATTTTCAAAGTTTAGATATCGTTCTATAACTGCTTTTAACTTCTACGAAACTTCATCCATCACATGAAATCCCCACAAAATTAAAATTTGTGATTATAATCTGACATATGAAAATCCTTAAGAGGTTTATTTATATAGTTTGTAAAGAATAAAATATATTTTGAACATTTTATTTTAAACAACACGGACATAAATTTTGTGCAGCCTCAGAATAAGTCATTATAGTACGCTTATAGTTTTTGCAGCCAGTGAATGTAACGACCCAGGGATCCCCCCGGGGGCCAAGAGGTCAGGTGATCGTTTCCAGATAGAAGACAAAGTGACTTACCGATGTCAGGCTGGAATGCATCTGCTTGGGTCGGCTGAAAGGGTTTGCCTGGAGAACGAGGAGTGGAGCGGCTCATCGCCAAGGTGCCAAGGTGATGACTTTTATTATTTCTCATTAGAAAGAGCTCACACACTAAACTCAAACATTATAACTCTACCAGCAACAGAGTATCCAGCTTTTCCCTCCATTCGGTACTTTTGTGCTTTATTGCAGCTCCTCAAACTTTTGACACGCCCAGCTCCGTGGCTGAAGCCATGGCGGGATCTCTCGCCGGTGTGATGGATGTTCTCTCTCCGGATTCCAAAAAGAAAAGTTGTTAATTTTTTATTTATTATTATTATTTTTTTAATGAACATTAAGATGTTTTTATGTAAAAAAATAAAAAATATGTTCAAATGGAATAAAAAATATCAATCGTGTGTTTGTGTGTAAAAAGATGTTAGCAGAACATTTGGCCGGAGCTTTCTTGTGGGTGAAGTCAGTCGTATGAACATCTACATTTTGCTGGACACATCGGGAAGCATCAAGAAGGAAAAATTTGAGTTGGCCAGGAATGCAACCATTGCTCTGATCAGAAAGGTTTGTATGAGACACGGTCAGGGTTAAAGTTACAATAACATCCTAGGCTCTTTGAATCTCATCCTCTGTCCTTTTAGTTGGACAGCTACGAAGTCCAGCTGAATTTCCACGTGTTGTCGTTTGCCAGCGAAACCAAAGTCATTGTCAACATCCATGAAACGGATATAAGCGGGGATTCTGACGAGGTCATATGGGCTCTGATGGACTTCAACTACAACAGTAGGACATGGCTTGTTGCAAACTTTATAATTAAAAATCACATGTCACAGTATGCTGGTGAGTTAACGAATTCAACCAAGTGAGTTTTGTTTTTAAACTGATCAGTTTCTTTTTCTGCTGCAGGTCACGGCCGTAAGACAGGCACCAACCTTTACTCTGCTCTGGAAAATGTGGCGAACACAATCAGCTTCTTAAATGAAAACAGAAACAAGAACCATTTTAATGAGACCCAGAACATCATCATCATTGAAACCGATGGTAAAAAAAAAAAAAAAAACTCTCGGGAGTCTCACAAATGCAACTGCAGATCAGCAGTTTCTCCTGCTTTTTAGAACAAGTGTAGCAAAGTACGAAACACCTTGGACCTTGGACACAAAAACATGCGCATACACCACACCCCGACGATGATGAGTGTTGCTGAGGCCTTCATCATGAAATTTTATTCCATGGTCCTTTACTTGACCTTACCTGATTGAGTTTGATGTCATTTTGTTTACTTTTATAAACAAGCTTGTCCTCTGTGTTGGTTTGCTTCAAGACACCTTGCAAGTTTTATTTTCATGGAAGCTAAAGGGATAAAATACCTGTATTACCATGGCGATAAGACAAGCCCTTTTCAAAAGAATTAAATATTGTATTAGAGATATTGCAAAAAATTGTGATGCTTCTTTTTTTGTTGTTGTATTTTTCTACCTGCAGGTTACTCCAACACAGGGAAAAAGCCAGAGGCCGCTCTGGTCAGGATCCGGAGCTTACTGGGCTACAGCACCACACAACACGATCAGACACACGAGAAACTGCTGGGTAGGATGACATGGATTGATATGAATGCACAACAAGTATTTTTGATTTAAAATTTGAATTGACAAATTTGAAATGAAAGATACACCATCAGGAAATGATGAGTGCAAAAATAAAACATAATAAAAATAAGGGAGTTCGATGTTTCCAGATGTCTATGTGTTCGGCGTTGGGGAACAAGTGAACAAAGACGAGTTGAACTCTCTGGCCTCGAAGAAAAGTGGCGAGAGGCATTTCTTTGTTCTGAAAGACTTCAGCTTACTGGGAGAAGTGTTCAACAGCATCATCAGTGAGTAGCAGCTGCCAGTCAGTGCGAAACCAAACACATTACTCAACACGGATTGTCTCTAAACGGAACCAAATTCTTGGCTTTCCATTGGCCAGGTGACAGCAGTGTGACAATGTGCGGGATAGCTCAGGAAGACGTCACCGAACATGCCACGGCCTACACCAGGCCTTGGCACGTCATCCTCTCATCGGCAAGTGCAATCTCTCTCAGTTAGAAGAAACTGGTTGAAGTGAACTGTAAGCTTAAACAAATTCTGTCTCCCTGTAGAACGAAGGGACACACTGTACGGGATCTATTGTAAGCCAGAACTGGGTGCTGACAGCTGCTCACTGCTTTGGCAAAGTGAGCACAAGCAGAGTCCCCAGTGAGCTAAAAATACAATATGGTAAGAAGCTGAAATTGTCAATAATTTGGAGATGAAGGCAAATATTTAGTCTTTTAAAAATAAATGTTCTCATACAGATTACGTTTATTTTAATCTTTAAGTCATTATAGATTAATTTAGTAAAGCTTTGCTTAAGCAAGAATACATGCAAGGATATCATACTTTTTCCACAAGATTAAGTTCATATTTATATTAAATATCTATGTCTGGAAAAAAAAAAATAGATTGATTTTTCATTCATAAGTTATCCTGGAAAGGGTGAACATATATAATTATATTGAACTCAAATCCTTTATGCGGACATAGTAAACCGTATCTTTGGTTTCCAGATGGAGGACTGGTGGATGGCATCAGGGTGATCACCCACCCCGAATTCAACACCCTCAAACTGAAAGGGAGGAATGTCTCAGAGTTTTATGACTACGATGTGGCTTTGGTAGAGACAAAACAGAAAATCCCGTTGTCCTGGAAAGCCAGGTGAGGCAGATGACAGTAAAGCAATCTGTAAATGGCTGCAGGTCAGCACATGTCTGATTGAACAACTTCTTCAGGTGTTTAATTATGAATGCATACAGGTGTAGTTTAATGGGAGATTTATTTAAATAAAATGTTTTTCCAACAGGCCCATCTGCTTGCCATGTACCATAGCGGCCTCTCGAGCCATGAAAAAAATCAACTCCACCTGTGAGCAGCACAGTAAGTAATTTTTGTAATGACGGCACTTGGAAAAATGTAATGCTGCAGTTGTTGATTTTTATGCTTTTTATGATCTGAAGCGTTTGAACTGCCTTGCTGCTGAAATGTGCTGCACAAATAACATTTGACTGGAGAGAAGTCCTGTGTTAAAGGACTGAAGACTAGAGTGGTGGTTCACCTTCACCAGGACGACCTTAAACACACAGAGCTGAAATTAAATGTCTTAGTTTGTTTTAAAGCGCTCCAGACCTAAATTCAATTGATAATATAAAGTCTTTTGGGAACATTGTATTTCAAAAACGCTTTTTTTTTTTTTTCTTCAAAGTGATCAACTAGTTGGTTTCTCACAGGAAATCCTAATAAAACACTGAGGTTTGTTGTAGCATGAGACAGTTGAAGGGGGAGCACAGCTGTGTCTCGTATTTGTTCATAAACATAAAGCTGTTTCAACAGGGGAGGAACTCCTTTCACACACGGCGACTCCTGCCTTCTTCATCCACAAGACCAAAGAACGGAAACAAACTCATATCCACCTAAAGAATCAGGTGAGTTTTCTAGGCCAGTCATCATAAATCTGATAGAAATCCTCCTGGTAAAATAAAGTGTTGTTGTGTTTTCTCTCTCTGCAGAGGCCTGCCTGTGTGGAAAAGGCCAGGGTGACCCTAACTGAACCAACAGACGTATCGCTAGACGAATATGTGACTGAAAATTTCCTCTGCTCTGGAGGAACTGCAGGATATCAGGATGGCATCAGCTGCAGAGGTCTGGAATCTTCCAGTTCAAAAACAGCAACAGAGATCAATATAGGACACAAATAACAGCTGCACCTCTGTCACAGGCGACTCTGGCGGATCCCTGTACCTGCAGAAAAGGAAGCGCTTCTTTCAGGTCTGAAAACTTTTAAATCGGGGAAAAAGAGAAGAGTCGGATCGTCATGAGTCGTGTGGTCAGAACCAAACTATTTTCTGTTTTCATCGGTAGGTGGGGGTGCTGAGCTGGGGCACCATAAACGTGTGTGAGATCCCAATGAGCAGCAGGAGCAGAACCCTTCCTGACGCCCGAGACTTTCACATCGACCTCTTCAAGTTGATGCCGTGGCTGAAACAGCACCTGGGGAAGGAAATCCAGTTTCTTCCTTAAGAGCCAGAGAGCAGATCCTGGACCGTACAGTAGAGCAAGTCCACTGTATGCTAATGAATACCTGACTTAATGTAGATTGCAACATCATGCAGATCATTCTAGAAAGATGATAGACCTGTTGAATAAAAATCTTAAATGGAAACACACATTTTATTCAACAGTTTGAAAAATAAAATGTAAACTGTATTCTGAGTGTTGATGTTTGTTCAAACCCTGAGACTTTCTTTAATTTTAATTAATCAAACTATTCAGGTAGGAAGTTTTATTGTCCAGTGGAAACGGTGAAAATTTGGAGCAATGGAAGTAAAAAAAAAAAAAAATCTATTTCTGTTCTTACATTTTACCAGTTTATCTCTAGACTCAACATATAGACAAAAGTGTCTCTGTTATGATGTAATGCTTCTTGCAACATTATGTCAATAAAATGACCTGAGCTAATCTGCTTGACATCTCTGCTGCCTAAAGTAATCACTTCAATAGCTTAGCATGTGAGCTAAATAAGCAGACTGTTTATCAGTTGCAGGTCTAATATCCCAGTGTCTTTCCTGAGGTCTCATCTGTGATCCGTCGTTGTCAGAACCGGCTGCTTGAGTCCGGTCAGCCCTCGGAGAACTGCCTGAACAGAGTTTCAGACTGACTGTCCTTGAAGTGTGGAACAAAGTGGATTTGAAGGATCTCAGAGAACCCCTCAGAGACATTTGGAGCCACAAAGTTTTTCCTGCCCAGAAACAAAAGACAGATCACATCAGTTAATTCATAATAAAATGTTTTAAGTACGCAAAAAATGTAAAAATAAAACGGATTTAGCAAAAAGGACACAATTTGAGCAAGTATTTTCAAACAAAATACCAATTTCAGTCCACATGAGCCTTTTGACTCTCGAAAAAAGTTGAGCAATATGACCGAGGCCGCCATCACAGGCCAGTTTCACTCACTTGTAGCTGTGGAAAACCATGTCGTTGACCTTAGCGTGTTTGCTGTTGGATGGAGCCATCTCACGGAACTGAGGACAACAGCAAAAACAGACGAGGTTCCTCACAACCAGGACAAAACTGAGCCATGTGTTTAAAAAAAAAAAAGTATGTTGGTCATACTCTGTTATTGTGCTTGGCTTGCTCCAAGGTGGCAGTGAAGAGGAAACAACGACAGGACACTCCTGCTGCTTTGGCCACGTCCAAGTATCTGCAGAAACCCCCACACAGGTCAGTTTATCAGTGCAATTCTGGTGTTGGAAAAACTTCACAAAATCAGAATCATTTTCCTACAAAAATATGCCAAAGGGGACCTATTATGAAAAATTCACATTTTGCATGTTTTGTTCTTCCATTTGTTTTTTGGCGGTAAGTTAATGGTTTCTGGTATTACCTAGCAACCCCAGTACATCCCAGCCCATCACCTAGCAACCCAAGCGAAGCTCCAGCACATTTGGTCACGTGATACAACGGCTGCGTTTTGTTGTTGACCTACCATCCAGGAACCACTTGCTGCATTCTTACTGGTTGTGCAGGAGGCTCTACTTCTGTTTTTTAAAGATGTGCAGTTGTATAATTGTGAATCTGTTTGAAGTCATTTTCACATGAGAGTGTAAACGTTGAATTTGGGGGGGCGTGGCCTGCAGCAGATTATTTGGATTTAAGGTGACAAGAGGCCCTGAGAGCTCAAAAATAAGCAAAACTAACCAGACTAAATTCTCATAATATAAGACTGATTGTGTACAACAAATAGAATGAACGTGTTTTGTGTCGCACATAGACCTATCCTAACCTTGTCAAGGAATCATAACAGGCCACCTTTAATGTTTTAATGCAGACTGCAGAGAATATTACTGAATAATAATTAACACCTGAAAGCATCAATCATGAGAAAAGTGACTTGAATTAGATTGCAGAGCAAACACTCCTCCAACGCAAACATTAACTAATCTGTGTTAAATCATTTGCATTTGTGACATGATTCTCCTGCAGGCAGTTTACATAAAGGTGGATCCAGTGAAGTGGATCGCGATCATCAAACTGAAACATAAAAATGACACACCCATCCAAACAAACAGAGAGAAAACACATGGGAGGTGCTGCAACGGAGCTACCGTTTGCGAGACTCTGGGTCTGGGTTGGTGTTGTCCACGGCGACGCTGCGGCCCTCCTTCAGAGCGCGCTCGCAAGCCGACACGCAGTTCTGCCAGGAGCCGAGCGTGTCCTGTTGCGGACGGGAGTGGAAAGAAGCTTTACTGAACTGAAAACCAAAACAATGAGACTCGTTCAGTTAGCTGAGCTGAAATACTCAGGATCTACTCGCCCTGTTGACGTAGACGTAGCCCTTCGGAACAACGTGGGTGTGGAAGAAGGTGGATTTACCAGCTGGAAAGAAAAGACAAAAAAAGAATATCAGGGTGTTGGCGGACGGACAGACCAGAAAGGTGACATACCCCTACAGACGGTACCTGCAGGGTAACCCACGGCAACAATAACTTCTGTGTTGGTGCAGGTGAGCGAGGCGGACGGCGGGTCGAACAGTCTGCAGCTGGAGTCGAGCTTCCGCTAATTCAGAATGAAAGACAACGATTAAGACGCACACAGATTAAATTATATATCTACACACCAGAGGATTGTCAACCTTGGACTTTAATAAGATTTTTGTCAAACGTATTGATCATTCCCCATAATTAGGGCTCAACAGGTTCCCTGATTGGTTTTATGCTGAGCCAGAATAAAGCCCAATAGAAGGAATGACTCAGCCGCGATGAGTCAGGAAAACATCTGTGACACCAAAAAGAGGATTCAGATCTAAGCTGTACTCACAGGGTCAAAGTCAGGCAGGCTGTAGGGGGCGCTCTTCCATCCTAAAAAGTATTCTTCTGGTGTGTAGAACTTAAGCCCAATGTTCAGCGCAAACTGCAACAACAGAAAGAAAAAACAGCTTTGAGCTCCACTAATCTATTCACTGAGATCAAACATGATGTTAACGACTTGGTGGAGACAGGAAGTGACAGGAGGAGGATGAGGTTCCCACATATTTTCAATAGAAAAATTCCCAAATAAATTTTCTAGATTTAACCTTCTAAAATCAAGCAGAAAAAAATAAAATAAAAAATTTAGAGCAGATATTTCTACACTGAGCTTTCAACATGGAACCTCCAAAAACCAGAGACAAACATGAGAGAAGGACACAAAAAGGAAACATGGAAGAGTGGAGAGAAAAAGGGGGGAAGGAACGAAGGAGAGGAGAAAAGATGGGATGAAAGGAAGGACAAGAAAGCAGAAGTAGGGACTTTGGAGCTCTTACCAATCTGTCACTGCAGGAGAAATCCTTCTTCTTCTTGCCCGGAGCCCAGTTCTCCGGCCTTCCTGCAGCATCTAGACACAGGGAGACGGTCAGGATGTCGTATGAATTTGTCAACCCAAGTGTTATAGACTGCTACAGATTCAACTGACACATGATTTGGTTAAGCAATGGAGGCTTCTGTGTTTGACATCAAACAGAAACAGAAAAGAGAATATTTATCACATCGACATCAAAGCCACACACCTGAGCTCTGACTTACCTCCGACATAAAAACTCTGGGTCTTGTCGACAGCCAGCCCGTCATTCGCCTGGGCAGGAGACACACCAGAGACGCCATGCAATAAAATTTATTTTTATTGATTCTTTGTTTGGTTTCTGGTGGTGAAGCTGCTATGTATCAGGTGTGTACTCACTTTCTCACACAGGTGATTCCACATTCCCATCACGGGTTTCCTGTAGACACCAGGGCCGCTGGCGACAAACACCTGAAAGCGTGGAACGGGAGATCAGTCGCTGCTTGATGCTGAAGGAATCTGTTACGAGAACCTGGGACCAACCTGCACAGGCAGCTGCAGTGTGGTGAGGATGTCCTCCACTTTAGACTTGAACACCTCTGGTATCAGTTTGCCCCTAGCGATCCCCAGCTGGTTGGTGAAGAAAACAACCTGCAACACGTTACACAAGCATGTAAAATCCAGCAGCACTCCACTAGGTTTATTCTTCTAAAGTCCACCAGTGCAGACGTTTTAGTGCTTCGCACCTTATAGCCTTTTTTGAGCAAGCTGGCCAGCCTGGGCTGAATCTCCGGGTACAGAATCCTAGGAAATTCACATAATGAGAGTTAAATAATCTACATCTGTTAAAGTGCATACAGTTTTTGAACTCTTGAACATTGTTCACGTTACAAACACAAAGTTTATTTAACCGTTTAGTGATACACCAACACAATGTCACTGCTGGCGAGGCTGATACTTTTTACAAGTCATCATTTAATGAGTTGTGAGATAGAACGTACTCAGGTTCACCCCCCCCCCATCACAAGGCCAAAAGATGGAAATAAAAGATCAACAATTATCAAAGAACACATGGAGGAGAATGAACATACTTCCAGTCATCAGGTGCGGTGGGAAATACTTTTCCAGATTTGGTGGTGATAATGCATCCATCAATATCAAACCCAGCAATCTGAAAGCAGAGAACAAGTATATAAACCAAGTTTAGTAGTACATAGCACAAACATACCAGTAAATCTTGTGTTTCGTTCCAAAAAGGAACCGTTCCCCACCTTGTCGCTCGCTTTCACTCCTGCAGCGATGTAAAACAAGAGGTTTCCTGTCTGCTGCCAGCTGCTCTTCATGCACGCCTTTGCTGGAGATGACGACGGGGAAGAATGGGTGTCTTTATTCTCCTCTGTCATCTTCTTTTCTGCAAACTCCTGCAGCTGCTTTAGCTTTTCCTCAGCGAGTCTCTCCTCCTCATCCTGCTCATCTAATTTCTGTCGCTTCACCTCCGACTGGTCCCTCTCTGTGTTCAGCTGCCTTTTAGAAGCCTGAACAAAAAAAATATATACATACAATCACTCTCACAATCATGTGCATTTATTTGTGGTGCATCAAAAATGTATAAGATGCATGAGAAACGGATGATGTTTTACCTTAGAGGGAGAGACGGAAAAGAAGTCCTTAATACTGCGTTTTGGAGTCGGACTGGATTCAGCCTCCTTCCTGTTTCTACCTCCTTTAGTCTTATCTGAGGCTTTCAGGTTCCTCCGTGGCATATTGCAAGCTGTTCCGTTGGAGCTCAGAGAGACGTCCAGTGTAAACGGGTGGCTCTGGTTGACCAGGTACAGGGTGCCTCCGTGGGTAAGTTTACCTGACTGACCCCGACCCAGCTTCTCACCATTTAGGAAACTGGGATTTGGCCCAAGCTGCAACAATACATCACATGTGGACATTGGACTGGAGAATCTCCAGGGCAACACTTCGTTTAATGACGAAGTGTTGCCCAAGATAAAAAGGGTGTGTGTAAAGGGAAAGAGAAAAATGTGCTGACCTCAGCTTTTCTCATGAAATAAAATAACTAACTTGATGTGTTAATGTTGCATAACCTGGCAGTGATGCTTTAGTTGTAGATCATTATGATACCTCTCTGGGTGGGTGTGTTCCCATACCTGAGTAACAACCACATCCTGCTCTGCATAACAAGCCACCGCCTTCACTGAAACAAACACAAGGGCTGTTAAAATGGATATGGCACATGATCACAGAGGAGGCGATTTAATATGTGTGTGGCTTACTCAAACTTAGGTGCAATGAGTCACAGAGAGTGCAGATATTAATGTAAAACACACATGAAAGATAGGAGAATGTTATTTTTAAGCTATCAATATTTTAAAAAAAAACATTGCTTATTTGTAGGTTTAACAGAAACTAGAGGAAAACAATCGTTCATGAAATGATTTGGCTGTTTCTCTCAAGTTTAATATCTAAGTAGTAACACCGATTTAAAACTCTGCAGACATAATGCAATCGTGTATGCACAGATTCATATTTAACAGTTAATACAGGGATGTTGCTAAGGCAGAATAAAAACATATTTTGCCAGACGACTGGAAAATTTCAGGTCAAATGTTGACTGGTTTATAAGAAATTATTTTTGTGCTGCACGGAGCATGTTTTTCGTAATTCTGGGCAGTTTATTCCCATTCAATGCAGACAGCAGGAGCCTAGACCCATGTTTTAACCTTACTGCACCAAGATCAATCTAAAAATAATTATATTTACCCTATTTGACAATACAAGTTTGAAATAACATCACTTTTAATCTCACAATAAGCATCAGATAATCTTTACATTTTAAAATTTCATAAATTTCCAGACATATTTCCAAATAAATCTCCTTTGATTTAGGCTGTTTTTCAGATCTAAGCACGGACATTCACTTTAATTTTATTTGAAGATAACGTGGATCTTTAAAATACCAAAGAAATCCCCAAACTACCGGTACTAACAGGATCCATTTCACCCATTAGACAAGTGATACTGATTCCCTCCAGTAACTATCATGAAAGACAAAAACAAAATACACTGAAAAGATGACATTTTATTTTGTTATCATATTATACTTGGGTGGACATTTTCTCTCTTTTATGTATACTCCTGATAAGTGAGCATATCAACATTCATGATAAAACTGATATAAGCTGACATTACGGCCAACAGTGCATTGTTATTGAGTGTCTCTCTGCCTCACCCTGGTGCCTGGAGCATTTCTTGTCGGCCACCCCAGTGTCCGGACCCCGGCCCAGAATCACAGCCCGTCCGTCCTCCAGTGGAACCCGGATCCCAGAGGGTCCAACCAGCGTACACGACATCTGTGGAGCCACTTCCAGCTACTTTTACTAACTATTTAGAGCAACAAGGAAGGCAAACATAGGACGTTCTTTTACGCCCTGTTTCGGTGGCGTTTCTGGGTCTACTTTAAAGGTGTGTTGCGGCTAAGAAAATTAAACTGAAAAAAATGTTCCCCGTTTAAAATCTGCAAAAATTGTGATTTGTTTAGTTGCAAGCTATTTTTGCAGGAGGTGCGTCTGCAAATTATGCTCGTGCAGAAACATGCTTTATGTTTTAGTGTTCCGCAATGACTGACAAGTTGTACGCAACATGGAAAATAAGTTTTATTACTATTTAACTGTTTGCATTCATATTTGATTCGTGTTACAATTGTACGTTTGGAGTCATAGTCTTGTACATTGTAAAATGTGTTCATTTTATGCGGTAAAACGCGTTTAAAAGAGTTTGAAACTGTTCAATGTGTCTTTTTTTCCCCTCCCATCTTGTCAGATGAAAAACTACCTTTTATGAAAAAGCAAAAATAAATAAATAAAATAAAGCTAAATGAAATTAAATAAAACTACTAAATGCCTTGGTTGGTTTGTGTTTTTTATGACATCCGTTGCATTTTTCCAAATGACAGTGGTACAGTTTGTTAAAAACTAAAATGTTTTTGAAAAAGCAAACAAACAAAATAACGAAGTAAAAACCTCATGGGCAGTGTGTGTTTCTTGACATGCTAAGGTTTTTGTATTATAGCCTCAAATAAATGAAGACTCACACGATAAACAGGTTTTACTTGATGTCAGGATCGAGTGACACAGGACTAGTCACACACTTAGACTGTTGACACACTGTTTTTTTCCATCCAGCTTATCTATGCAGTTCCTCCTCTTTTTATTATATTTTGACTGATAATCCCTCCCTGCTCAGCTTTCATTTGTATTAGTGTATGTGTTGACAATAGGAGAAGCACACTACCGAAGCAGGAACTTTCAGGTATGCATATTGTGAAGCAAACTATTGAACAGATATTTCATATTTTATCTTTGCGGGTATACGTTCTTGTGTTTTAACTCAACTGTCACAATTTTCATCAGTATTGTTTTGTATTTCATTCTTGTTTCTTCCTATAGGCCTGTCAGCCAAAGTGCACTGGAGCTATTAAACTGGATGTTGACAAATTGAACTTAAGGCGTTGCTGGAGACTATCCTTAATTTTCTTCACTGATCAAATATAACTAGATTACATCATGTCTAACTCAACCAGCCAAGTCAACCATCAGGCAGCCTACTTGTCTCTCATGAAAGGAGTGAAGGAGCTGGACTTTTGTGGCCCCTGTGTCCCCAGTGACCTGCTGCTGATCGGAGACCATGCCTTTCCGTTAGCCATGAACAGCAAAGGTCAGGTCCTGATGGCTGCGTCTCTGTATGGTGCTGGGAGGATTGTTGTTCTGGGTCATGAAGGCTACCTGACTGCCTTTCCTGCTCTGGTGGAGAACGCCCTGATCTGGCTGCGGGGTGATGGATCAAATGACCCTTCTGTATTTGTGCACAACAGCGTCAGGGTGGTCAGCGACAACCTCAGCAAGTCTACCTTCCAAGCACAAGTGGTGGGGGGCTTTGATAGCAATCTGAAGACCGGTGTGTATGTGACGGATGCGTACAGCGTTGGTGCTGACCCGAAAGACTTGGTGGCCTTCATGAAAGCTGGAGGAGGGGTGCTGATAGCCGGCCAGGCGTGGAGCTGGACTGCAGATCACCCTAAGGAGAACACACTGCATCACTTTGATGGAAACAAGGTGTCTGGGGTTGCAGGGATCTACTTCTCTAAGAATCCAGCAGAGGAGGAAAACCTCCCAGTCTACCCACAGATCCCATCCTCCTACATGGCTGTAGTGTGAGCATGCACTCCATTTCTTCTAATTTATTTTTAATTTTTCTTTGTTTTTAGCACAAAAGGTCCGAATAACATTTCCTTTTTTGCTTTCATTTTGACTTTAAGACTGTAATATTCACTATCATTTGCGAATGATAGTGAATATTGCTATCATTATAGTAATATAATATGCTGTAGGATCCTATAGCATATAGGATCCAATAGCATCCTATATGCTATACTATAGGATTGTTTTTGACAGAAATTCAGAGTCAACCCTTTGTTTAGTGTTGAACTGATTTTCTGCTCCCACCTTTCTGAATCTGACATAAATATCAGCTCCAATTCCGTTTTTCATTTTTAATAACTCTTCTTTACACTCTGCTTTTCAAATACAGAGTAGGGAAGGATTTTGAGGACGACTTGCAGTTCTTACTTGATGGTGTTTCAGAGCTCGCCATCCCAAATGGTTCACTAGCATCAGAGGTTATGGTCCATGGCCCGCTAGCATTTCCAATTGGTGTAGCAAATGGTGGGCAGGCATTTTTGGCCGGAGCCTATTATGGCCAAGGTCGGGTCATCGTTGCTGGACATGAAGGAGTTCTGAGTGCTGAGGTAAGGTTAATGGGAAAGTTGTGTTAAAACTTTGTAAGGTTTATCAGAACATCTAGGTTAACTTTTTTTGTTGTTGTTGTTTCTTTCAACACCCAGGCAAATGCTTCATTTTGGAAGAATGCCCTACACTGGCTGGACGAAGGACGAAGGGGCGTTGTTGGAGTAGCACTGAAAAATGGGATTAAGATAGCCACCGACTCAGGTCTAAAAATGGAGAAAACAGGCATCAAGAAAGACCTGAGTGTGTTTGTGTCTCCATCGAACCCCAAAATCCACTGGGAAGAGATCCAGAACTTTGTAGCAGAAGGAGGAGGTCTTCTGATTGGAGGACATGCCTGGTACTGGGCACAGAGCCATGGTGGAAAAAACCCAATGACAGAATTTGGAGGTAAAAAACTTGAAAAAATTAATACAAGAGTCAAGCCTGCATTTCTGGTGGATTTGCAAATGTTGCATATTTGACCCTTAATAGCAATCCTGTAAAACTTTATCAAAAGCCTGGAAATGCAAACTTCAAGCTTATACAGGTATTAACATATCCAGATTGACATGTGCAACTGAGTGCAAAAACACCGATGTGCTTGTACAAAACAGAGTAAACTATTTACAAAAAGTGAAAAAAAAAACTACAAATAAAAGCAGGGATTTTAACTGCACTGAAAAAAAACTGTCATCAATGTTAGCATCTATGGAGTTTGTTTGGAGCAGTGATGATTCCAAAGTCCTTACAGCTGCTGCGAGGAAGGATTTTTCATAACACTCCTTTGTGTTTCAAGACAAATATGTTTTAATTCTGTGTCTTTCAGGGAACAAATTCCTAAACCAAATGGGATTGAGCCTGTTGAAGTCAACTATTAAAGCAGGTTCATACAAGGTTCCTGATCCCAGTCAGGCCATCAAAGACACCTACCATTTCCGGCATCTTTTGCACCGCTTTGCAAAGCATGTAACTGTGAAGGAAAAACTCAGTAAAGACGAGGAGGAATTCCTCAAAAAGCTGGGCAGCGACTGCTCCACCTACTTGCACATGAAAGCTCATGACTCCTGCCACTACTCTCAAGTGGTGGCAACCCTTATAGACATCTTAAAAAAGTCAGGCATGCCACAGGTGAGGAGAAACAAACAAATTTTTAATGCATTTTTTTAAACAACTCAAGAATATTGTTACACTACATACCAGTGGTTTCAAACAAAATTGCCTTATTTTTCTTATTTCCATCACCAAGGTGAGTGAAACATGCCCAGTCAAGAGCCCCAAAGACCACCTTCTGCTCAACATTGGGGCAGAAGTTTACAAGGTTTGCCCAAATCCAGACGACCTCCTGCCGTACCTCATCAGGGACAATCCACTGCTGCCAGTTGTCCACAATCACATGGTCAAAATTGATGTCAGTACAGAAGGTGTGGTGTTTTGGTTTTTTTTTTTTTTTTTGGTATACATTCCTTATGGATAGTTCCCCAAGTTCATTATATGAATTTGATAAGCTTTGTTTTTGAGAAAACAAAGCAACAGAAGTTCTCTACAGGGAATCACTGGCTTGGCCAACACTTGTCCTGCATCTGTGACTGACTATCTCAGCAGCAAAATGATACAACTTTGCATCTGACAAAGTTAGACCAAGATTGTTAAAGTAAATTATATATGGATGGAGACCCAACACTGAGTTTTGTGGCACCCCCTTTTGGACTGTAATAAATTCACAACACAAACCATCATATCTAATGCACTGAGACCCTTTCCAGAGGTAATTTGAAAATCATGTTACTATCCTGTAAATGTTGCCAATGGGTAGTACTATAACCACCTTCAATATGTTATATAATTTCTAGGCATATGATATAAGCTTTACTTCAGATGTACAAGCAGAGGTACCGAATTGTGTCGAGGCAATAAAAGGAAACTTCCTCCAGCTAAACTCTAATAAAACAGAGAAATAAATCCCAGGCCCTTGTTATTAGCAGTTTGTTCAATCTTAAGAAACCTTGGGTCCGTATTCATAAGTTGTCCTTATGAATACGGACAACTTAAAATCTGCATACCTGCATAAAATCAAAACCCTTTTTTGTTCCGCCTGTAAAACACCAGAAGGTTAGGAGGTAGCAGATATGGAGATGCTTGTTCATTCTTTCATCCCATCTTGTATTGATTACTGCAGTGCAATATATTCATCACCCAATATAACTATCCATTGCAAAGCTAGCTTACGCACACGGTCAAATGAGGTAATTTCTTTGCTGTGTCTTTCGTTTTTTGAAAACCCTTTTTTGATTTAACTATGAAAAGTGCATGTAAGTTTAATTTCTTAATAAACGCTAAAATGGATATTAGTAACTTTGACTTTTTCTGTTTGTGCGTGTTTATCAGGAGGAGAGGAGTGGATCAGCACAGGTCTCTACCTTTCTCCTGGTATGAAGACATATGTGGCCATACCAGCAGATATCGTCAACAAAGGATGGCAGGTACTTTACATAAAATCTGTTGCTGTATTAACGCAGAAGTGTTTAATATGACATTATTGCCCATGTACTTGCAATTATTCCTTGCTCATGTTATAATAAGAAAGGGGCTTGAATGAAGCTATGAAGCATCCTCCCAAAGCTTTAACTTGTACTTCATTATACCCATAGATTCAGTTAGGCTGTCAAACAGATCATCTGAATGCCGCGGAGTTGAAGAGAGCTCCATGTGTCCACGTACGCTTTCCTGTCAACTCTCAGATGATCCAGGTGTCGAACCTGTGGGGAGGACTCATTTACCTTGTGGCCCCACCCAAAACACA